AGTATTTATTTTATACCTTCTTTGCATGTGCTTTCTTATTCAGTTATCTGTCTCGGTGCTTAATATATATATTTGAATGACAAATGTGTTAATGATGTCAGTCATTAACTGTGTACTTAGCACTTTTTTCTTTTTCTACCATTTACTGTCCCATGACTTTGCAATACAAACTCTGTACTACTCCATTATTAGCACTATTGAAGTAGCAGAGTACAAAGAAGAGGAAGTTACATCTCACGTGATCGTTTCCCTCTCTACCTGTGGAACAAGGTACTTACACATCAGGATCCTGATTGCCACGTTCAAATACATTTCAGGGAAGGAGTAAATAATTAGAGGAGTAGCAGCAATACTCATAGTAAAAGCTACCATCTGTGGACTTTACTATGTGCTTTTCATGTCTACAATCTATTCAAATTTATTCTAGCACTTTTCAAGGGTACAGCTGGGGCCTAAAAACCACAAAGATCTCTCAAGAAACGTGTCTACATTCATGCACTCTGCAATTTAGTTGAAAATAAAATGGGTGGAGTGAAATAAGCCAGAAATTTTTTCTTGAGTTTGTAAGATATTGAAACTAACAGGATAAATATAATGTCTGAGGTTAAGTAAAGGGATAATTACGATAATAGAAAATAATATTGAATGTATGCTAAGTACATATATTAGCTCATTTGATCCAGAAAAAAATGGCTCTATGAGTTAATGTATTAGCCTTATTTTATAGGTGGGGAAAATAAGGCACAGTAAGATTAAGAAAAGTGTCTATGCACTCGCAGTTAGTAAGTTAGGGAGAGAAGGAGGACAGGGAGAGAGACAAAATAGAAGGCCCCTGGCACCCTTCCCAGGCCACTAATAGCATCCCCTACAGACACCTCATCCTCCACAAGAGGCGATGGACATTACTGCCCCCAGAACTCTCCTGGGAAACAAGTCAACTAACCTCAGGAGCAAACACCCCTGGAAGCTTAATGAAGCCTAAGTGTAGCATGAAAATGCATTTTCTTCCTCTGTGTTCATTTAAATGTATCTTTTGAAAAAGCAAATTGATAGCATTTATTAGAGAAACATGTCTTGATAAATGCATTAGAAATTTAGACCTGACTAAAGTAATTGGTACTGTTTCAAGAACTGGAATCCTTGGAACAATGAATTGGCACTAGAACGTTTGTTTCAGCAGCAGGGGGAGGCTTGGCACAGGTGGGCTGCTCTGCAAGGTGGGAGGGGCGGGAGATCACTGGGGTCCTGCTTGCCCAAGGAGCCAACTATGCATGCATCTTATTATTCCAATGGCTGCTCTCCTGCTGATTGTTGGATTTCACCCCACTACATTGTCCCTACCACTGACCTGCCCATGTGCCTTCAAGCAAACATGATGTTCTACCCTAGCCTGTTTGGCTCAGTGAATAGAGTACCAGCCTGCGGAATGAAGGGTCCTGGGTTCAATTCCAGTCCAGAGCATGTGCCCAGGTTGTAAGATCAATCCCCAGTGGGGGTGTGCAGGAGGCAGCCAATCAATAATCCTTTCTCATCATTGATGTTTCTCTCTCTCTCTCTCTCCTCTCCCTTCCTCCCTATATATATTTTAAAACCCACAATGTTCTTTGGAAAACATGCATGAGATTCCCAATATTGTCTTCCAAAACAATGTAAAATGCACTGTGACAGTTCTCTGTCTAGATAAATCATAGCAAATCCTTTTAGAGGGTACCAGTTATTTGTAAAGAATGTATCCCTTCATTTGTGTTTTTAAAAAAACCCAACACTGTGTTTACTTATCAAGATTCCCTAAACTAAAGAAATTCATAATCTGAGAAGAGAGGAACCAAGATGGTGGCATAGGTACACACTTGTACTTGCTGCCTTGCACAACCTCTCAAAACTACAACTAAAAGACAAAACAGATATCATCCAGAACCACAGGAAGGCTGGCTAAATGGAAATTCTACAACTATAAGGAAAGAGAAAAGCACATTGAAACTGGTAGGAGGTGCAGAGGTGCAGAAGTAAAGTGCAGAGGTACAGAGGCGTGCGTGGAAATGGGCTGGCAACTGGGTACACTGTTGTCTTTTTCAATCAGGAGGGATACAAGCTCCCAATTGCTCTGAACTCCAATTCCAGGTGAGACTCTGGGAACCCAGACTCATACAGGGAGAAACTAGACTGTCTGACATTGGGCCAGAACACGAGGGCGGCTTTCTTACAGAGGTGCTTGCAGCAATCATTGTTCCTAGAGACCCTGGAACCTCTCTGAGGCAGAGCAAACAGGCAGCCATTGTGGTTTGCTCCACCCTGATGATTCCCTGAGACCCCGCCCCACCCAATTTAAAACCCCACCCAAGCTGTGAGCAGAGGCTTTTGCATATGAATGGCCTGTTCTTTTGCAATCTAAAACCTAACAAACTGCAGGGGGGTCAAAGATCACCAACGCTTCCAAAAGAAGGCATAGACAGCAGCCTGCATTGCTTCACAGCTGGGCCTCATCTAGGCACTTCCAAACCCCAAAGAGGAGGAATCTGCAGATCACTCTGTAGCTTCTGCTGGGTGGCCTCAGACAATGGCTGACTTTGCACCTCCTTGGAGATCCAAGAGCCAGTCTACCCAGTGGTCAAAGTGAGACCACACCAGATTACAACTCTTCACATCCATAAGTGACAAAATCAAGGGGGAAACTCTGTGAGCACCAAAGCCCCACTGAAGCAAGTCCTACTCCATTATGGTGTCTCCAGCACAGAAGTTCTCCCATTGTAGACACAGCTGGTCCTCATAGCCAATTGGCCTGGTAGTCAATTCCTCC